ACTTCTCATTTCGTCGAATTCTATAAGACCCATTTTCTCTGTGTAAAATAGGCAACAGACACCTTGGTTTAAAGGGGTCCCAAATCTGACATTTATAGACATCTCGCCTGATTTTACCAGGGGAAATTCTGCATTTTCACTATAATCCGGATCTAGATGAAAAAGGTACACGGCAAATCCTTTGGCAACATCTCCTCGGCTTAAACCGGCATTGATTTTGTTTGTCTTGTCATAAAAGCCGTCAAAGACTTGTAAGATTTGAGCTCCTCCGTCGTCCATACTGTAATCAACTTGAATGGGATCTTTAGGCCAACTTACTCCGTTCACGCTTAGGGACAGCTGTTTCACATCACAATTGATAAAATTCCAAGGATTTTTCTTATAGCTACCTGCTACAGCTTCTGATTGACAAAAAGCAATTGCAACTAACTTCGGTAAAGGAAATTCATTAAGATTACCCCAAGTAAAAAGAGTTTGATTTGGAGGCACGGTGCATGATTTTACATGTCTCTTTATATATGGATACATAGCATTGTGACCTTTCTTTAGCATATGATTATAAGCGACTAGCACGCCAGGGTTTATTTTTAGTTTGTACAATCTTAAAAATGCATCTTCAATAACAATTTTATAGTCTGACGTAAGTGGCATATCTTCATCACTCATTAGGCAAAACTTAGGTGAACTTCGTTTTAAAGTTATATCAAGTTTAACACCGTTCAATAGGTATCTATCAAACATTAAACATTCACTTAAAATCGGTCCAGCAATTTCAAATAATTTAGAGCCTTTTGCAATCGTGTGTCGTTGGAATAGACCGAAGTTGCCTCCCTTATAATCAGTTGAATCCATCCAGCCGGGTGTATCTGCCATATAAAGTTGTTCGGTTAATACATTTTTCTTTTCTTCGGCACTACTCCGCAACAGAGTTTGAAAATAAGACGTATAAGCATACATGTTCCCGGATGAAGCCACAAGGGTGTCGTTCATTCTGACATTAACCTCAGAAAATAGTGCATGAAGAAATAAATTAACTGGTGTCACGCTATCTTCGTTTGAAAAGGAGCTCCCGTCAGGTTTAAGCAGACGACATTTTAGAAACAGCTTAGATTTTGACAGATCAGTGTAAAAATCCCCCTGCAAAGAAGTTTGGAATTGTATTGGACCATATCCCTGGAACTGGCTTATAGGACGTATCACTTCATAATACTGTTTCAAGCATGCAACTTGAGTAGGTGGACATGTAAACAAATCTAACTGTATTGGTCCTACATCGCTCTTACTATGTGGCGTAAATACAGACATACTCACGAAGTTTGTGTATAATCCAAAGAACTAATCAAACTTCAATTTCCTTTTCACGTTTGTGCTAAAAATGTCACGTAACTTATCACGATTGAATATATCCCTTTTCTTACTTTTTTTCTGTCCACTCCTTTGGTGCCTAGATTTCGCAATCTTATATGACTTCTTTATGACGCTTTTTTGCCACTATCTGTATTATTGTTCTTTTTTTTCATATCACTTTTTGCTTGTTGAAATGTTTGTTCCGTTGGTGTTATTATTTTGACAATCTTTGGTGTATTTTCACTCTGCTTTTCGACCGAAGTTACTTGCTCAGTTTGTCTCCCAGCTAGCTGTTGAAATTGATCTATATCTTTTAATGCGTCTTCTTTAGTTTGAAATCCAACTTTCGGTTCGTGAGTTTGTCGGCTCTCAAAGAATTTTGTCCAGAGATTGTAATCTGGTACGTAAATATTTGATTGCATAAAGCTACCTTTTTCAGCACTCATATTTTAACACTGTAGTTACTATGTTCAAAAGTATGATCATTTTGCAACGAAAAACTACCATGGGTTATATTTAAATGAATCATTAGATCACGTGACTGACCATTTAGCATCTAATTATCAACATATTATCGGCGATTTTTAACAGAAATCATTTGCAAACTCTTTATATATTTTTAACGGATGAATATGGGAGCCAGCTGTCAAATTCCGCGCCATATCCGCTCCAGCGAACTAACACCTGATGATTTCGCCCTTTGCCCCTATGCTTTCTTATTTTTTCAATCTTATGTAAATCTTTCTCTGATTTTATTACAGCTTGCAATTCTGGCTCATACCATCTACCAGATATAATTTTTCCATTCATATCTTTCAGTATATACAGTGGTAAATTGTCTTTCCTGTACCGGGCGGCAATCTCAAATATCTCCTGTGAAAACTTTTGATAAAAGCTACGTTCAAAGGTTCGCCGGACATAGCTCACACGCACTAATTGTCCAGGCTTGTACTTATATTTGGTAATATTCAGAAGCCTTGGGAAATTCTCATACTTAAATTTCTTAGTAACTCGAGGTTTTGGTTCTGCATATGGTCGATTAATATACATTTCGTTAAACAAAAAAGATTCGTTTGTTTTATTCACCTGTACGGGGCTTATATCGTTACCTAAAGACCGATGTGGCCGATGGTTATATGCCCGAACTAAATCTTGTAAATTTTCTATATAACGGAAAGTGTTGTTGTGATAAAGATAACTATATATAGAACGTTTTAATGTAAGGTTTAACCGCTCAACGTATGCCGCTTTAATAGGCGATGAGGCAAAGCTTTGTTTGATATTAGTTTCTTTCAAAAACTTTATCATTTTGTGATTTTTGAATTCTGAACCGAAATCTGACCTGACGACCCTTACCTTTCCGGACTCTTTCAATATGTCTTTAAATGCGGACAATACAGTTTCGGCTTTCTTGTTTTTCAATGCTCTAACGTAAGCCATGCGGGTAAATACATCTATTGCTGTCAACAGAAAATTTACGTTGTCGTTGTACTTTGCTTATCTTGACATGTCCGTTAGATCGATTTCTATCAAATCTAATATTCCACGAGTGATAATACGATTTCTTTTGTAGCGATGCTTCGTTTGCCTATTAACAGTGTAAGTGTCTTGCTTTTGTAAAAATGTCCTTATTTGCTTATTGGTTACTTGTTTTTTCTCCTTCCCGGTCAACAATCTTTTTAACTAGGCTGGCGCTGTGAAGCTGGCTGGATGACTAGGGTCAGAATATATTATTTTCAGATACTGTTCTGTATTTTCTGTTCTCATGATTTTGACGGAAATTTAATTACAGGTATTCCTTAAACTTGTAAGTAGCTAGATCTATCGCGTAATTTGTATCTTTCGTGAGAATCACTGTTGGCTATATTTAGCGCTAACGAAGATGAGTTCTTTGACGACGGCTGTGTAGAGTTCAGTGCGTTGTCTTCAAACAGCGATTGTTTAAGATACTTCAGCCGAGGAGAGGGAAGAATATATCCTATCGATGTACTTAATAGAACAAGCCACAACTCCTTTTCTGTTGACTGCAATATTAGCTGCGACAAGGAAACTCTAATAATAATGTATATTAAGATAATCTGTGCAAAAAACAGTGCTTGGTTTTTCGGACTGTGATTCATGCATAAGTTTAGATTCCTGTTTTCTTCCCTGTTGACATTTAAGTTTTCACTCTTAGGGTTATCTTGGTAAGACTTACTACTGCTAGCAGAAGACGAATTATCTCCTGCTAACAAGTTATCGCTAACGTTGTTTTCGGATATTTCTATCGAATTCATTCTTCAAGTAATGTCTTGTTTTGTTTTTTGTTTCTGTATGCACTTTGTTTTTGTTTCTATATTCGAAAATAAACACTATCTTTGAGATATAATGCAACTAAACTGTCCAAACCTACTTAAGGCAACTGAAATAAACATTTGACGGGTTACTTACTACCACAAAAGGGTCGGTTAAAAGAAAAATAATTATGTTGTAGATAAATGTTTTTAACAATGGCCATTATGGTATAATCGATAAGTAGGTATCGGCAATTATTGGCAGTTTTCAAGTTTAATTGATCTTCACAATACCCTCAATCAGTTCAATTATCACACAATTTTCTCCTATTATTTGCTCTTTTCGAGTTACTCCAGAAGTATATTGCTCACCCGTTATTTCCATTACTACTAATGCCTACAAAGCATCGGTCAGTATTAGCAAAATTTAGACGTGGAGTTGCACACCTCCGTCTGAAAACAGGAAGATATTTAGATGATTTAGATGTTAGTATCAGGATCAGTCCAATTTGTAAACAAAATGTTGAAACAGAAATGCATGTGTTAACACTATGTCCTGCTTACCAACTTCTTAGAAGGCAAGGATATCAGTGCTGCTTTTATTAATATGAATGATGAAGAAAAAAAGTATGTGTGTGCTCTCAAATCTCGAAATTGCTAAATTAACTGCCAAAATCTGCTATAATACTTCTTAGACGGTTTTATACTTTGTATCATTAATACGGTTACTTTTAACTGTTTTATATTTAAGAGCAATAGTATCACAATAGCAAACACACCACGCTGACTTTCTGTAATGCATCGTTGAAAGATCCAGGTGTTAGTAAACAATTAAATAACGCCATGATTGAACTTTCGGCACTTTCAAAAGTCAACAGTCTTAATGAATATAAATCTGATAACGGTAATCCATTAATTTGTCGTTCATTAAATAAAGGAAATTGTAACAGCTAAATTTATAAAACGAGTTGAATGAAATATTATTATGCGAAACTCTAGTTTGATCTATTATCATTGATATGTCGGGTTTTTATACATAAAACGAATTTATTACACATCTGCACTTGAGTTTATGTGGTAAATGAAATTAAAATCACAGCAATATATTGAATTTAATTAGTTTAATCACAGCTCTCCATCCAAATTTGTTTTTATCTAATAACTTGCATTACAAATAAGAAATGTAATACAACTTTCTTTATATTTGCAACTGATTTGAAATCAACCTTAAAACGTATATGTCAATTAAATGTCATCTGTAACAACAATGCTTATGATTAAGAACAGTGATTAACAAAGCTCGGCGATGTAAACTTACCACGTGCTTTGGTATAATTTCGGCTATGAAACAGTGTTATATACGGCTCAAGGTATAGTATTTATTCTCTTTGTTGACGGTCAATGAAAGGATCGTATACATTAACGGTGAAAGATATAATTATAGATAGCATAATTGAAATTGTTAAGATATATAGTAAAATTAGTCATGTGTAGTAAAGGATACTTGAACATTGATTTCAGTGCGGTTAGTTCGGTGATACAATAATTGAGGAGGCAACTGATTGTAGGTTATAAAATTAAATTTCATTACAGCTTGTCATTCATTCCAAACATGATATAATATCATCCTGAATTTTAATAGAAATCAGGTAACGCATTGTCGTAATGACCACATTTAAACAAGTCAATAAGCTTTGTTAAGTAGATATAAAAAACTGAATTTAGGATATTAATATGATTAAAGATGTACGCAAAATATGGCAAAAGTTATTTTATAGTCTATTTTTATCTTTAATTCATTTAGGGTGCAATAAGCAAAAATAAATTTCGTTGTTGACATAAAAGTTGTACTTACTTTAGACCAAATCAAAATGGCAACAAAGTTTATAAACTAAATATAAAACAAACGTTCTTTTATTGATCCAATGGATTTAGGGTTAACCCAACCTGGAAATTAAATATCTATAAATTTTGATCTTATCTTTTAATTACTTGAAAGCGACACAACATTGGTAAAGGTTTAGCAGATAAAATTCTTTAAAAGTGTGCAGCTTTCTACACAATCGAATTTGCGTTTGTTTCTTGGCGAACAATCGAATTTTTCTTACGTTGTTTCAGTGAAATACGAGCGTGCACAGTACTGGGTACCAACTGAATGACGTGACGTCGTCAATGACGTCACGTTGTTTTATTATTTGGCGCGCTTTTCATTCAGTATTAGGTTGAATGTCTTTTTAAAACGTTTCTTTGCATATAATAAAAAGAAAATTTGTTTAGTTTAGTGTAAGATCGAAATATATTTCACCTTGTGAAATATACCTTTTGGTGCTCACGCGGTGAAATATATTCCGATCTTACACTGAACTAAACACATATCCTCTATATAATAAGATTTGAATACATGAGATGAAAGAAAAATGAAAGATAAAATCATTGAAAATAACATAGATATTTTCTTTAACTCAGTCATCCGAAATATAGGGTACTCGAAAATTGATTAAAATCGATATTACCGGTGATAGAGGCAATGCTCGAGTATGTCACGGTCATTCAAAGGTAACAGTAAGATTCCATTGTTACTTCCATTCTTCATTTTAAATAGGCTCGAATTTTAACAAGAAAATAAGCTGGGACAAGTAGTCAATGATTTTGGCAGACTGTCTTAAATTTTACAATGTTACCACA